CAAAGCTTTCAAACCCTAAGGGTCCAAGGACCCAAATAATGGGGCTTTAGGTCCCAATTACCATTCATATTATAGTATTTGGGCCCTAAAACCTTCTTATTTGGGTCCTTGGACCCTTAGGGTTTGTTTAAGCCGTAGGTTTACCGTTTAGGGTAAGGTGAGCTATAGTCTAAACTCCTAGCATTCCCGGTTATAAGCCCTATAATACGATCCCAATAGACTTCGCTATCTAACACCCTTTATGAAGTTTAGACTGCAACTCGGGTGGCTTTTTGAGGCTTTAGGCTTTGCAAGGTACAGGGTTTGCAGGGTTTGAGGGCTCAGGCTTGCGAGTTTAAGCATCCACCGCTTGCCACCGGCTCATAAGGCTACGGGTTCAAGGGTGCAATGCGATTTTCATGGAATAGACGCAACCCTAAGCCCTAAACCGCGTGGGCTTGGGGAAGAAAACTTCCCTGCAGACTGGGACTTTGAAAGCCTAAGCCCCCCGCACAGATTGTTCTGACCCAAGCCAGTCTGTCCGAACCACAAAGCCATGCGTCCAAACAGGAAGTGTTCTTAGACACGTACATAACTGCATAAACCCCAAACCCTAAGCCCCTAAACTGTAAACATAAGGATCTCCCCAACAGGGCTCACTCGCGGGGGCCCTAATCGTTCATTGTGGGATCCTTTTTTTTTTTTTTTTTTTGATCTTGGGTCTCATGCTGCTGGACCCTCATAAAGTACCTTAGACCTGAACCCTTGCAATAATGTGTCCTAGTACATTATCATTAAAGTCATGCAGGATTCTGTCCGTGGTTTTAAATCACTAGTCCGCTCAACCCTAACCTTGAACCCTAAGCCTAAGCCCTCAACAAAACCCTTAACACTGGTAGCCGCAAGCTTTAATCCAGGACAGGCCAGATTCACATCTGCCCGAAGCTCGATGAGCGTCGACAGAACCTTGGCGACACTCTGAAGTCGGGCGTTTTCATAGAATGGAATACTCAAAGGACTTGAGGATTTTACAGGGCTAAACTTTGCAGAGAACATCTCAGAACAGAGAGTGTACGTCAAGAAGCCATATGTTGCAGACGCAAGGCTGGCTTATCTTCAACTCTACCGGGCAAGTCTTTTCAAAAGGTTAATCCTGTACGCAAGTATTGAGGCGTTGGTTTGCGCATCCAGCTATCAAACCCACATCAGAGAGAGTAGTTTTGGGTATGGGCTGGGACCCAACACCCAAGGCCAACACCTCAAACCCTACACCCTCAGCCCTGGACCCTTAAACCTGAGCGCAGCCCGTAGCCCTCAGAAACCCGGCAAACCTACCGAGAGGCAGTATAGGAGGGTAGTAGGGGATCTACAATTGGAACACTCAAGAACCAGAAGCCCAAGGACTTGATTATTGGGTATCTGAACCTACAGAATTGGGTTTTTAAGCTCAAAATGGGGGGGGATAACACCCTAAACCCTTACCCGGAACATCCAAAGTACCGGCGCAGGTTGCTGCGACTTCGCCGCCATCAGCAGCAAGCGCTGCCCATCGAAGTAGCCCAAATGGGCCAGGCCTCGTGCACGACTTGGGGATGGGGTTTAGGGTGTAGGATCTAGGCTTTAGGGTGCAGTGTTCGGGACATATGGTTTGGTGCTCAGGATTTGAGCTTCGAGGTTTGGGGTATAGGATTGTTGTTTTCGATGGGATTTGGGGTCCGCACAATCCCACATTCGAACATCGACATCCTAGGGCTTTCCTCCCCTTGAGTCAAACATGGAGACCTCCAACAACGCCTACAAAGGAAATGCCATAATATACTGTGATATACCGTAACATACTAAAATATACTAGAACGTGCTATGATACACTATAACTAAAAGTTGCTATAACATACTATAATATCTATACAACAACAGCATACTTTCGTTTCAGCTCGGGCTTTCTGGGGTCCCTAAACCCTAAACCCTAAACCCCAAAATCTCAACCTCTGCACAAATGTCACCCCTAAGCTTACTGCCTATTGCTTCAGGGGAGAGCCGCGGAGAGAACATACTTTAGGGTTTAGGGTTTAGGGTTTAGGGTCTAGGTCCCTCCAATGTAGTTCCTTTTTGGGTTTGGTATGGGTTTTTTGGTTAGGGTTCCTATTAAGACTACCAAAAAAGGTACTACATTGGAGGGTCTAGGTAAGTGTTACACGGGTGAGACAAGACACAACTCAAATCAAAGTCCACCGTCACCCCCAGCCCTGAATCTGGATGCCCTAAACTAAACCACTAAACCCCTAAACCCAAAACCTAAACCCTGAACCCTGCAAGAACCATGAGTAGCGCTTTCATTTCAAACCCCGATACGCACGCAGGAAACAAAGCTCAGACATTTCTGGCCTTGTGAGCTTTGGTTCACATCTGCCCTTCCTTACAGAAGGGTTCTGAGGGTTGGAAGTCTAGGGCTTCGGGTTTAGGGTCGAAATTTTAGGGTTGAGGATTTAGGGTACAAATTTCAGGGTTGGGGGTTTAGGGTACAAATTTTAGGGTTGAGGGTTTAGGGTGCAAATCTCGTAGCTGTCCAGATACGCTAGAACCCTAATTTGCAAAACCACGGGATCAGCATTTCATAGTCCGCCACGAAAACAGGGCCACTGAACAAAACAACAACCCCAAACCCTTAAACCCTCAACCTCATCCACTAAACTCTCATGTAACACTAAACTCACTGGGGGCTAGTTGGGAGCAAGGGAAAATTTTGTGGAGGGATTGTTTTCCCTTATTCCCGACTAACCACCAGTAAGTAAATCGAACGTCTGAGGAATGTTGAAATTGCGAGCAACCGCTGGCCAACAAGCGCAACATCTTCACGTTGCCAGTGAACATGGCGCAGAGCAGTCCGGTCATACTGCCTGGAGTCTACAGTCTACTTGGAGGTTGACGGTAGCTATAGCCAGCTATAAGTAGATCTTCTAACCCAGAATGCGTCCATGTTGGGAGACGTAGAGGTTTTGTCTTTGGGTTACAAGTACAGTCATCCGGAGTGTAGGGATGAGGAGCAGTTGGGTCCATTGACTCTAGGGCTTAGGACTCAAAGCTTGGATTTGCTGGTTTCTCAGTTTGGCGATACGAATAGAACTCTAAAATCTCACATTCTTCATTGGGCTTAGTAAGCAAAATTGATAACGGTTTTGAACAATGAACCGGCTTGAGGTGTCTGAGGATAATGGTTTGGGGCTCAGGCTTTGGAACCCTAAACCCGAAATCCTACAACTTATGGTCCAGAGGGTCTAGTCTATGAGTACCCAGTATGAGTAATTACTCGGGACTACGGTAGTGATACGCGCGATATGTTTTTTGGTTGTATATCCTCCTCAGGCACTGGGACTCTTACGGTGGGGCCTTTAGCCATAATAAATCATCCCCATAATAGCCGATATAGATAGATAAATATATATATATACCTATATATATATTATGATATATACATATATATATATGCAGACGCCACTTTATATCGAGGGCCTGCCTGCAGAAGCAAAGGGTAAGGCTCTTCAGATCGGGGACAGGAACTGAGGCCACCCCAAACATTCTGGATCAAGGATCAGGATCTAAATGGTGTAGGGCAGGGTTTCGGGCGTAGGTTCTTTTATCATTTTTTCAAATCTCGGTTGCTCGGGCTTCTAGAGTGTGGACAGGGTCGATGAGGTCAATCGTAGGATGGAGGCATTCGAGCTTGCGGGTAGAAATTTCCTGTTGAGAGTTCCTTGCAAAAGGATCCTACGTATTATGTTCGGCCATATCCTTATGCGCGAGCCTCAAACTACTCATGGGTTTGTGAGGCGCGTAAATATACGTGGAACTGAACAGCAACCCTTCGTCACACCAAGGCACGCCAAAATTCTTGGCCCTTGAAGTCATACAAAGGAAAGGAGAAGGCGGGAGCTTTAAACAATAACCCCTTAACGCTGAATACCCTGAACCCATAAACAACATGAAGTCTGAAAGCCGGAGTCCCAAACCGCTGGAATCTTGAACCAAAAACTCAAAAACCTCAAAGCCCAGATGCCAGACACTGAAACCCTACGCTGCAAAAAACCCTCAACTGGGCCCGCGCGAACAGATAACCAGCAGCACTTCGAAAGCTCTGACATCAAGCAAAAGTCCATGGAGGAAAACTTGCTTAGGATCCCCTGAGTACTGTAGCTTAGGGTTTAGGGCTAGGGCGGTGCTAGATTTCCCTAAGCCCTAACCCTAAATCCTAAACCCTCGCTCACAGAATGAGTGCCCAGCGAAGCCCAAACATTTTCAAACCTTATATTTGGGGGTTATAATGGGATAATGGAAAATAAAATGGAAACTACTATAATGGAGAATCAAATGGAAAATAAAATGGAAAATGAAATGGAAACTGGGGGAATATAGGGATTTACTAGCCCAGCTGCTCTCATCTTGAACGGCGGCTTCCAGGCTCTTGAATAAGAAGCGAGCCTGATGCCATGATTTTAGGCTTGACTGGCCCTTGCTTAGCTGGGAATTAAGGAATGGAAAAGAAAATGGAGGCTACTATAATGGGTTATATTATAGAGACTACTATAAGGATCCATTCCCTCATTCCTACCAAATCAACGGCCAGTTTAGGGCGCAGAACCCTAATATTCGCAGTGTAGCGTTCGGGAGCCTCACGTTTACAATTTAGGCTCCAGGAGCACGCTATTTACAAATGAGGTTTGCCTTGGATTCTGCATGTCCTTCCTTTTTGGGCGATGCATCGTGCGGGGTGTATCCCCAAAATGCAAAAAATCCAGGGTTCAATCGGGTCAGGCGCTTGGGACTTGGAGCTCTGTTTTAATTAATTGTTTTTTTCTCGGACCTTTTCCACCTGGCAATCAGGGTTTAGGCTCTGTGGTGTCATGCTTTCTGCTTTGGTTAGTCAGGGACAAAGTAGGCGGGATGGGCTTCGTGGCGGGGTTATGATGTCAGTGTTGGTTCGAATAAACGAGGCCAACATGTAGGTATTATGGTACGCGAAAAGTCAGAAATTGCTCTGAAATCTTCAAAGAGACCAGAAAAATGTCGGCGCCCCAGTTATATCGGGGTCTTCCCAGCATCTGGTGTTGGTGGGCCGACAGAAAGCGATAAGTCGTCAGGTCCTTGGCTGTTGCTTTCCTGCTGCGGGCCTGCTGCGGGCTTTGGGCTAACCCTGGACCCCAATCTATACCTAGCTCTGTGTGTGTTTGAAGCTGCATTCAAGGTTGTGGTTCAGGGTTTAGCTTTGTGGTGGTGCAGTACACGACGTCCCCCCTCAGGGGGCTTCCGTCCACTAGTGCATGTCTTGCAGCATGGCAACTGAACGGGTATTTTTCCAAGTTACAGGGAGCGGTCTCCTTAGTTCTAAGTTTAGGGTTCAGGGTTTAGGGAATATGGAGATAAGTCCCAAATACGTAGCGAGATGATCTCCAAACATGTCTGTGTAACATGCGGGCGGGGCCACTCCTTGTAAGGTCTTATTCAGGCCTGCAGACACACAGTGTGCGAACAGTTTGGGGAATCTCCAGATTTTGTTACATGCCCAGACCCGAAACCATAAACTCTAAACCTTAAGATCGTTCGCTTTGCACTTTTTCTTATATATGATATTTTCAGTTGACATAGAAAAATCCAATCACGTTTTCACAGCCGTACTCTGGAAAGCGCAAGCTCAAAACCATAGACCTAGAGCCCACATCTCAAATCCTGCCAGGACCAGACAGAGGCCAACACCTGACACAGCCAAGCCAGCTGTGACTCTACATAGATTCGGCAGTTTCCGTAAGTCGGGGGACCCCAATATAGATTCCCAAACGCTATAATCCTTATTATAGGCACCCGCAAAATGGTACCCCTAATTTTGAGAAACCATAAAGCCTAAACCCTAAACCCTAGCCCTGAGACCTCCATGTAGAGTCGAGGTAAACCCTAAACCCTAAACCGTGTGGTTGAGGTACCCTCCCGGAAACTAACATGGAAACCCAAAAAGGATCCTATAAAGACTATAGTCCTTTTAAAGGAGGGCTATATGGGTTTCCATGTTAGTTTGGGGGAGTGTAGACCCGAAGCATGCCCATGCTTCTTCTGGAGCCAGGGCACTCCCTGTTCCTTGAGCCGTCGAACCTTTGCCAACAAGGCCTGCGAGAGGGTGCTTGAAGGCTACGGGTTTGGGGTTCAGGGTTTGGGGTTTAGGGTTCAGGGTGTAGGACTTACTTGCAGGGTTAGGGGGACTTCATAAGTAGGTTCATAACCCCTATAAGCCACATAGTAACCCTAGTTCTCCTCAATGTTAACATACTTGGTTAAGGCGCCCCTGAGCCTCCAACCCCTAAACCATAAACAGTAGTTTCCATATTCTTTCCCAGTATCCCTATTTATCCCCGATATTAACCTACTTACGAAGCCCCCCGAACCCTCTAAGTTTAGGCCAATATAGACCGTAAAAACACTATGATCCTTGTTATATGGACCCCCAAAATGGTACCCCTAATTTTGAGACATCGTAAGCCCTAAACCCTAATCCCTAAACCCTAATGCTTCGGG